AAGAAGTGAGAGGTATGCATTGATTTAGGGCCTGCGTTTGATTTTCGTTTCGCCTTCAAAATGGTGCTTCAGACGCTTAGAAGCTGCTGGTGATTGCTTCCTGAGTACCTTTGGGTGACAGTCTTTGAAGTGCCAGAGAGAAGACCCCTTTCCGCTTACATCCGGAGCTCATGTGTTCACTTGGAGGCATTATTATTCAATGATTCTCAGTGTGCAGACTCTTATCGGCGAAGAGGCTGCAGCGAAACAGTCTGAATATTCACGACTGGTGGCATTTTAGCACGCGGAGGTGGTGAGGGTGTGTGAAGGATCGATCTGGTGGCTGTCCTCGGCTGGTTTGTCTCCGGGAGGGCACGTAACACAAAGAATGTCAGATGTGAAGATGCAGTTGGGAGAGAGAGAGCTTTTATTTTTTGTTTGATTTTTGTTCTTGCCATTTTACGTTAAAATCAATTAAAAGTCCTATATTGCTCAAAGTGGATTCTTGTGAGCTTTAATCCATGTTATAATGTTCTTACCTCATCAAAAACATACCTGGAATTTAAATTGACCAAATGATTCTAGTGAAGATGTATCGTGAGTGAGTGTTTTCAGTTTGAGAGAAGGCTTCAGTCTGCAAAAACAACTCTCTGGGCATATGTTTGTGATGAGAAAACAGCATTGTAACATAGATCAGAAAATAGCCTTTAAAAAGAGAGAAAAAGACAATGTGAAGATGTAGTGAACAGCCAATTACATTACGTGCAGCATTAGCAGAATAGCATTAGGATTCATTAAAAGGCCTGGTGTACAGTTGGTAAGAATGAGTAATATGTTGAAGGAGGTTTTAGTGATTGGACCATTTTGGTGATGTGACTTTCGGCTCTTTCATGGGTTCAGAGTCTTTTCAATTTGTTACTTTCAAAGAGCCATTCAAAAAACTGGCTCTTTTTATATGTAGTTATATGACAGAAGCCAGCGTGAGAACTCATTTTATCTACAACCTAATCACAGAGAGAAATGACCAAGGTTATGATTTGTTTAAAATGATTCAAACTGAGACTGGAAGTGTATTTACTCATTGGAATGCATAATCTAAATAAACGAGTTGCACCACCATTTTTAATAATGATACAGATTTAAAACCAGACTAATAGTATGATGTCAAATGTGTTTTTGTGTATGTAACGCTCTCACTTGGCTACTCTGCCTCTCAGTTTATTCTTGTGTTATAAGTCAACGTAAATCGGTGTAAAAAAGGAAGAAAAAGATCCAACTCTCTTTAAAAATGAGATCTGGTTCCAGCCGTTCATGAACAAAACATCACTAGTCTGTTTGCATAAGTAACTGTAAGAATTATTAGTGCTTTTGTTTGATTTGATGTGATGATAGATATTATTACGCTAAATGTCAAGTCCATTTATCCCGTTGACAATTATAAAAGGTTGGGGTCTTGTATTATTCTGTTTGTTTACTGTCTAGGATCTAACAAAGATCATAGTGCAGTGGTTTGTGCCTGTCGCAAGCCTGCGTAAATGCAATGAGTTGAATCAAGAAAAGATCACAATGTGGAACAGAGTGTTATCTACCTAAATATGCAGAATTTGTGTGCTTGTATGAATGAAACAAAACAAAACTGCAGGTATGTTTGTGATGAGGAAACAACATTATAACATAGATTGGAAAATAGTGTAATATTGCCCTTCAAACTTGGTCAAAATCAGAATGTGAATGACTGCACAGCTGGGCCCAAGGGTGTTTGGCAACCCCTGATAAAAGTCTGCTAAACATTACGTGTAAAAACTTCTTGTATTGCAGACAGAAATTGCTGTGTACTTTGCATTATAGCTGAAACTTGCCATAATGGTTTTGTGCATTTACCAGAACATTGCAGTGGTGGAAGCAAACAATGAGATAATGTGAGGATTGTTTCAAATTAAACCCATTTTAAAAACCTACACTTGTTTGTAGGCCACCAGAGCATAGAGTAGATGATTGGCACAACAAACAAACTTAGAATATGTGTATTCTGTTTTGTATTATTTTACGGAATTAGTTAGTGTATATTTACAAACTGAAATATAACTTCCAAAAAAAGTAATAATTTGATGCTTAGACTTAGACTTAGAAAAACTTTATTGATCCTCAAGGGAAATGACTTGGACACAGTTGCTCACACATCACAATTTACTATAATAAAAATATAATAAAATACACAAATATACCTTTCCCTGTCATCTTCAGTCCATGTAAATAGTGTTAATAGTACAATGTATTTGAATCATGGTTACATATTCTGCCCCAGCTTCCTCCCTAATCCTGACTTCTCCCGCTTTCTTCTGCACAGTACTGCGCTCCATCATTGTCAGTTATCCTCCAGTTTGTTTCTAACTGGGATGAGTCGTAACTCCAGGGCATCTGACTCACAACGTGCTTTCATCATAACCTTGTGCCTCTGAAAATGTGTCAGAGCCCAGTTTACAGATTCATCAACTGCACCAATCTAAATATAAGAAACTCATACGCATTATTAAAGGCGCTGTGCCACATTTTGGTTTTTGTCTTTAAAAAGAAATGAGTTGACACGAGCTTTTTGCAACTTTCAGAGTGGAGATATGCCATCATGATAAAGCTAACGGCAACTAGCATGCTAACCACACACTTCCTGATTACTGGGAAAAACAACAATAAAAAAAAAAAAAAAAAAAACGCTTTATAATTAGATACAGAAAATAGCAGCAGACCTTTTGATGTCAGTAGTTGTTTTTGAAAATACACTATGTTCTGGTGCAGGGGGTCCACTACTACTCTGTAATGTTCCACAATATGGCATTAAACCTATCAAGCTCGGATTCATTCAGTTCCTGGTCCTTCAGTGCTTCAGAATATATTGAAAAACATGCATTTTTAACTATGTGGGCTTGCTTCTCCACAGCTCTGCCCTGTAAACCCACTATCTGCTTGTATCCGTGGAGACAGATACGTCTTATACTATACTGTGGGACACTTTTGGCAAATCATCTCCATGGAAACAAGCAGGCAGTGGACCCTCCACCAGAAAAGTTACATAATGTACCTTTAAGCTACAATGTATCTGAACTAGGGCAAGACAAATTTTGCTAAATTTTTTTACAATGTGGTCTCGCTTCTCCACAGACCTGACCTGTAAACCCGCCGCCTGCTTGTATACATAATGATAGATATGTTTTATAGTATACTGTGGAATACGTTTGACAAAGCACTAACATCACCATGGGAACAACAGGAGGCAGCAGGCAGTGGGACCTTCTACCAGAAAAGTTGCATAATGCACCTTTAAGCTATAATATATCTGGGTTGGAGAAAGACAAATTTTGCTCACATACAAAAAAAAAAAATAAAATCAGGTACAGTGCTTTTAACTCTGAATATATCTTTTACTGCAACAGAAAGACTGCTAGCGTTAGCGTGGCTGACTAGCTTGTGACATAGCCTCTTGTAGCTAATTGCTAATAGCTGCTCTAGTTTATCAAGGCCATGCTCTGGTACCCAACGTGTAGCAGGACCTTTTTACTCTCAATCTAAATGTGCTTCTGTCAAGACATAAATAATATGTGATGGATATGAACAAGAAAGCGCAATAAAGAATTCAATAACGGCCTTCAGTGGCAGTTCTTTATGTGACAAATGTTGGGGAGCAGATAGATTTGTCAAATAAAACTCAGGCGATGTAATAAAGAACAGTGATATGTGGTAACTGCCCTGCACATTTTAATAACTTTATCAATGCTAACATTTGACATTTGACATTGTTCACTATTGTCCAATCAAAACTAGGGATGTAACAATAATCGAAATATTGTGGTATCGTATTGTCAAAGGTCTTTCAATAATATCGTGGGCTCCATATACCATGATCGATATCCATGATTTCAGTGCAGACAATGCAACAAATATGTGTGTGTATGTATGTATGTATGTATGTATGTGTATGTGTATATATATATATATATATATATATATATATATATATATATATATATATATATATATATATATATATATATATATATATATATTTTTTTTTTTTTTACATTAATTCTTGGGATTAAAGCAATAAGTATCCTATCTAAAATAGCTTTTCCAAAATATCGCAATAAATATCATACCATAAATTCTAAATTGGGGTTGGTTTCAATAAACTATCAGCTTCCTCAACCTTTCCATCATTTCCTATTCCCTACCACCGCCTGTGTTCCATGAAAATGTTATATGCTTTACCTGTAATTTTCATGGCATTAAACTTATTTATCTTGTATTCATTGAGCTAATCTAGCCAATTTAACTTGGTCTGGTGGTGAAATCAAAAATATTGAGAAGGTCTGTGAGTGGATTGCTGTTGCGATTTTGCACTTCATAAAAATAAGTTGACATGCATTTAAATTACACATTATTTTATATGATCTTATTATGGTATTTTCTTATCTATGATGATATACATTTGTTGTGTTTTGTTTCATCCACACATGTTTAACACACAAATCCTGCAGTTCTTCTCTCAAATTGAAAACACTCTGTTCCACCTCGTGACACCATGTGGTAATACAGGAAATGCTCCAGTGTGTTTTTAAACTACAAACACTTTCGCTATTGCCAGTCTCTATTGAACAAAAGTTAAAAGGTAGCTGTTAACTTAAAAACTACCACTGCATGACATCACAAGTGGGACAATTTTGAGCTTTAGAGACAGATTAATATAAAGGATGTAACAACATTATAATGTGGTTTAAAGCTCCCAAGAGTCAATTGTGCATAGTCTAGGACCTGACCCATAACTTAATAGTGTCAGTATCACCTGCTTGTCTCTATAAAGCCAGATACGTAAAATGTCATACCTTGAAATATCTTAGACAAAGCAATAACATCTCCATGGTGACAAGGCATGGGCCCTCTACCATAAAAGTTAGATAGCACACCACCTAAATCCTTCTATACTTACTAACTGAAGACTCACTCACTCTCGCCCTTTCTCTGTGTTATAGATGGAAGAAGTAATAGCGCGCATGCAAGATGAAAAGAACGGCATACCCATCCGGACGGTGAAAAGTTTCCTGACCAAAATCCCCAGTGTCTTTTCAGGTAAGCCCCTTATCTTCCTCCTCTTCTGTCTCTGCTTCTGGCTCCCGCCCACAAAGCGCCCAGCTATAATGCCTCACACTTGCCAAACAAAACAACCAGAGTGCTTAGAGATTTGCTTGTTATGCAGTTCACACCAGAAGTGGCACCAAGTCAAGTGGAGTATATTGAATTTTCAAACCACAAAACCTCCAAGAATGGCATTTGGAGTTGCAAGGAAGGATTTCTTAGTAAAGGTTCCAAGTTCAAAAATTTCTCGATTTCGACTTGATGACTTGATGATAAAAAAACAAACAAACAAAAAAAAAAAAACACTATTGTATTCACTATATAGAATAGAATGTGATTTTGAACATTAAAGGTGCACTCCATAACATTTCTAGTGGAGAGATTACAGTATAGATTAAATCTATCTATCACCAAGGAGACAAGCAGGTTACAGCACTACAGTACATTACAATTCAGATCTGCAGATACTCTTCCCTAATCACAGAAGGAATTATTGTATATTTGAGCAATAGAAGCACATGCAATGAATAAATGCTAGATAGAAATGTTTTATGTCATACCATGGAACATTCCTGCCAAAGCATTAAAGGGACAGACCGAAATTTTGGACATAGGACCTCATTTCCTAGTTAGCCAGATTGTTGGAGACGTGTGGAGACACTTTTTTTGAATATTTCATCCAGTCCTCGTATTTGCAGAGGTGTGGTGCTAGGCCAGCACATGTCAATGGCCATAGTTAGCCTGCCACTAAAAACAGTCTTGCCCACTCCACAAAGCACATGAAGCAAATCTATTATTATGCCAGACTACCGATGTAAATGTCTGTGTTGATAGAATAATGTTTGAAATAAAATTAACCTTGCATCGCATGAATCGTCGCATGTTGAGGGACTATTTCCTAAGCAGCAGCGGAATATTACTTTGCCAGTAAGACAGGTGCTAGGTGATATCAGTCCACCACTTTCAAGCTTTCTATCAGGAAGTACAACTCGCTGCTGCTGCTCAGACATAAATCCTTCAAATGCAAGGTTGGTTTTACTTCTGACATGATTCTATTGACACAGACATTTACATCGACAGTCTGGTGTAATAACAGATTTATTTCGGGTGCTTTGTGGAGTGGGTAAGACTCTTTTTAGTGTCAGGTTAACTATGGCCATTGACATGTGCTACCCTAGCACCAGTGACCTCCGCAAATACAAGAACTGGATGGAATATTTTTTAAAGTGTCACCACATGTCTCCAACATTCTGGTTAACTAGGAAATGAGGTCCTATACCCAAAATTCTGGACTGTCCCTTTAAAATCTTCATGGAGACAAGCAGGTAGCAGACTCTTCTCCAGAAAAGTTGCGCAGTGCACCTTTAAATAATAGTACATTCTTTTATATTACTATGTGTTCTTACATCTATTTGATCTGTTAGTCGTCCAGGGAGTTCCATAGTGGTAGTGTACTAATCATTGTGGTCTTATACTTGTTCTGATACAGCTTAAGATCATTTATTTAGTATCAATACTTGCTCAAATGAGTATCTAGTTTTGATACTAGTTTTTAGTATCTGATTTTCAATTATTTTGACAACCCTACTGGGATCTAGTATGGAAAACATATTTGCAGTTGAATGTTACTGGGTTAACCTATAGCCTAACATGGTTTCACATCATCGCACGGTGTCTGGGTCGATGAGAAGGTGCTAAATCAATTCAGGGAGAGAATCAGATTTGTGTTTTAGTGCTGATGATAGCAGCAGTGTTATTTTGTATGATTCTGCCCCAGGCCAAAACAGCAGTCTGTAAGCACCGAGAAAAGACACAATTACGAGCTGGACTCAAATGACCCCAACCTGGCAACAATATACCTTACATGAACTCACACAGAATAATGCTAATATTTGTATGTGTTTGTTAACTGTTACTAAGCACTTCAAATTCAAAGCCCGTTTTATGGTAATTCAAGCAAGCCCTTTAATCCAAGCATATGGGTGGACAATATATCAGTGCTTACTGGTGATATTGGGGATTTTTGCATTCATGTCAGTATTGCATTTATTTATTATTTACAATTTATTCTATTTGTAAAGGAAACTGATAGGTAAAGAGGTCTGTATGTTTTCACTTTTTTTTTTTTTTTTTTTTTTAACAAATGTGAAAAAGTAAATTAGTAAAGTACTAAGCTATAAATTAAAATATTTTTCATAATATTGACAATAGTAGGCATGTCAAAATAACAAATTTTTAAGGGTTATATTTTGCTACAGAGATATACTGTGATTAAAGATAATATTGAAATTACTTTATGCCACTGATACCAAACCAATAATGCAAGATAGCAAACCATTTTTAACAATATAGTATCATTAAAAATTAGCCAAGATACTTTTCCAACTCCATTCCATTTTCTTCCACTTATCTGGGGTTGGGTCGCGGAGGCAGCAGTCTAAGCAGGGACTCCCAGACTTCCCTTTCCACGCACACTTCCTCCAGCTCTTTTGGGAGGACCACGAGGAGTTCCCAGGCCAGCCGAGAGACAAAGTCTCTCTAGCGTGTGAGAACCATGGCCTCGAATTTGGAAGAGCTGATCTTCATCCCAGCTGCTTCACACTCAGCTGCAAACCACTTCAGTGCATGTTGTAGGCCTGGTTTGATGAAGCCATCAGGACAACATCATCTGCAAACAGCAGAGATAAGATGAGATCCTGTGGTCCCCAAACCGAACCCTCTCTGGCCCCTGACTGCGCCTCGAAATTCTGTCCATAAACTGAACAGAACCGGTGACAAAGGGCAGCCCTGGCGGAGTCCAACATGCACCTAGAACAGGTCTGACTTACTGCCGGCAATGTGGACACAGCTCCTGCTCCAGTCGTACAGGGACCGGACAGCCCTTAGCAAAGGGTTCTGGACTCCATACTCCCAGAGCATCCCACACAGGACACCACAAGGGACACGGTCAAATGCCTTCTCCATATCCACAAAACACATGTGGACTGGTTGGGCAAACTCCCATGAACCCTCAAGCAGAGACGTGTCCGCCAAGACAGCTCCACAACATCCAGAGACTTAAGGTACTCAGGACAGATCTCATCCACCCCTGGAGCCTTGCCACCAAGGAGCTTGCCAACCACCTCAGTGACTTCAGCCAGGGTGATGGACAAGTCTGCCTCCGGGTCCCCAGTCTCTTCTTCCTCCTCAGAAGACGTGATGGTGGGATTGAGTCCTCCTCCATGGCCTCTACGAACTCCTCCCAGCCCCGAGTTTTTGCCCCTGTGACCGCACTAGCTGCAGCACGCTTGGCCCTTCGTAACCTGTCAGCTGCCTCAGGAGTCCTACGAGCCAACAAGGCCCAATAGGACTCTTTCTTCAGCCTGACGGCATCCCTTACTTCCGATGTCCACTGCCAGGTTCAGGGATTGCCGCCATGACAAGCACCAGAGACCTTGCGACCACAGCTACGAGCGGCCGCATTGACAATGGAGGTGGAGAACAGAGCCCACTCGGACTCCAAATCCCCAACCTCCCCTGGGATCTGGGAGAAGCTCTCCCGGAGGTGAGAGTTGAAAATCCTGTTGACAGAGGGCTCTACCAGATGTTCCCAACAGACCCTCACGATACGCTTGGGTCTGCCAGGTCTTTCCGGCTTCCTCCCTTGCCAGCGGATCCAACTCACCACCAGGTGGTGATCAGTTGACAGTTCTGCCCCTCTCTTCACCCGAGTGTCCAAGACACGCGGCTGGAGGTCGATCATCACCTCCGGCCTAGGGTGTCCTGGTGCCATGCGCACTGATGTACACCCTTGTGCTCGAACATGGTGTTCGTTATGGACAAACCGTGACTAGCACAGAAGTCCAATAACAGAACACTGCTCGGGTTAAGATCAGGGAGGCTGTTCCTCCTGATCACCCCTCTCCAGATATCACTGGCATTGCCCACGTGGGTGTTGAAGTCCCCCAGTAGAACAACAGAGTCTCTGGTTGGTGCACGGTCTAGTACCCCACCCAAGGACTCCAAGAATGCCGGGTACTCTGCACTGCTGTTCGGCCCGTAGGCCGACACCACAGTGAGAGACCTGTTCCCGACCCGAAGGCGCTAGGACGTGACTCGTGTGGCGGCTGAGCTGTGGGGCTATAAGCAAGCCCACACCAGTTCGCTGCCACTCCCCGTCGGCAATGCCAGAAAAATGTAGGGTCCAACCTCTCTCGAGAAGTTGGTTACCAGAGACCAAGCTGTGGGTGGAGGTGAGCATGACTATATCTAGCCAGTACCTCTCAACCTCCCGCACAAGCTCAGGCTCCTTCCCCACCAGTGAGGTCACGTTCCACGTCCCTAGTTCACATCGCACCTGACCCCACGTCGTCCCTTCCGGTGGGGCCCCGTGTTCAAAGGCCCAGCCACCAGGCGCTCGGTTTTTAGCCCCAACCCCAGGCCTAGCTCCAGGGTGGGGCCCCGGCTGCACCATACCGGGCGATGTCATGGTCCTTGTTATTGTACTGTTCATACGGTTTTATGAACTGCTCTTAGTCTGACCAGTCACCTAGGACCTGTTTGCCATGGGACACCCTACCATGCCAGACAAAATAGCTCCTAGGATCATTCGGGTACGCAAACTTCCCCACCACGGTAATGTGGCAGTTCAGGGGGGAGTTTTCCAACTCCCTACAGCTTAAATCTTACTGTATTACAACAAAAACACCCCAAATCTCTGCACTATAAATGTACACACAATACATTTTGAGCCCCAAAATATATTGTTACAGCTTTCATATACTGAGCCAATATAGTATTTAACGCAACAGACCTTGACATTAGAAAATATCAGTTATTTATGACATCTGCAAAAAAATCCATATTGGACCATCCCTAGTCAGGTATCCAGTCAAAAATCTTAGTAATCAGTAAATATTCATCACTGAATGGTGAAACTAAATTGTGAGTTTGAGATACTTGTTTTGGGTTTAGAACTAACAATATCAATTATTATATTATTATTATATATATTCTTTTAGGCTTCTTGCTACAATATGATATCTGTCACATTAACAACAAATCCAAAAAAGATCACTTGGACAGGGCATGTCTAATGTACTTAAGAATCCATTAGAATCCATATGTTTGACAATGCATTTTCCCCTTCATCTTCTGTACAGTGCAGAATACACACATATTTGCTTCATTGTACATGACTGACCACATCTGTGTAAATAGAAGAAGTATGACAGCCAGGACATTGTATTTGTACCATAGACTGCATGAAAAAGTGGACTAAGCAAGTGTGACATCACCCACAGCATTTGGCTCCACTTAAATGAAGCTCATGATGCTGGCAGTTTGGAGCCAGTCTCTATATTATGAATAAGATTTTTTTTTTTTTTTTGACAACACATTTTTTTCTGACAACATAGTGAGGAAAAAAAAAAAACAGGATCATGTAGGGTGAGGTAATACAAACATTTAAGACCAAAATGACAAGGCTCACAGCAGCAGTTACAGAGAGAGGGACGACAATATTCCAGTGAAAGTCAAAGGTAGCAAGGGTCAGTCGGAGTCGGAAGAGCCCACATGAGCACTTCCTATGTGGAACGTTGCAGCTAGCGCATCAGCTATGACCATTTATATATACAGTGTTTGATTTTTACTTGAGATTGTGCGTTTATGTACAGTCCTTGGCAAGTGCGTCAACAGAAATATGCTATTTTAGACATAAGTCTCTATTACACAGTATGACTATAGCATGTACAGTATAACATTACAACAGGAAGGCAATATAATGTTTACAAGTATATATAATTTGCTATGATTTGTATGGATTCATTTAGGTTCTATTACATAACTATGGTCAGTATACATTGGTTGCATAGTTGCTGTAATTCCTGTTCTAATCGTCAAAACAATGCTAAACTTATTGTATAATAATTGTAAGATATATATTCATGAAGGTTAGTGTAGCACCATACTGTGAAATAATGAAGGCAAAACAATAATATCCTCATAGAGACAAGCAGGTGATGAATCCTCCACCAGAAAAGTTACAGAGTGCACCTTTAAGAAAAAAATAGGAGGGAATTGGAGCCAGGTCCATATTAGGAACAGGAATTTATTCACTGACAAAATAGTGAAATAAAAACACAAGGATCACGTAGAGCTGGTTAATACAAACATTTTAAGCCCAAAATGACGAGGCACACTGCAGCAGTTACAGAGAGAGGGGTGACAATTTTCTAATGTAAAGTCAATTCGATGGAGCTGAAGGCGTCCCGATGGTCACTTCCTATTTGGAACACCACAACTAGCAGGTTAGCTTTGTCCATTTCTATATACAGTCATATATACAGTCTTTGCTTATCACATAACACTGCAAATTACCTTCAAATGCATACAATTTTATGATCCATTAGTAAGCCACAAGTACATCAGCGAAAGGATAAACGGGCCTTGTCACCCACACACACACACACACACACACACACACACATATACACGTGCACAGCTCTCATCAACTTGAGCGTTATATTAATCAATTCAGAAAACAGTCTTGTTAGAGGATTACCTTATACATCTCATTTAAGCTATGGGAAAGTGGGTCAACTGTGATAGTGTGAAATTGTGACTGTATTAATGAAGATAATCCACAGAGGATCTCATCTGGCTCACAAATGCTAAGTGCTAAGTGTTCATAGACATAGATGGAATAAAAGGACTCACATGGCTGCGCTCCTGTCACCCATCGGGCTTTCTCCTCATCTCCCCTCTGCTCCTGTCGTCTCCCCATCACACCCGCCTCACCTGTCAGCGTGTGCCACAATAATAGATCCGAGTATATTTAGCAGAGGTGCCACAGTAACAGGGCTGGTGTGAAGATGTCCACGGGGCTTGCTGCTGCTAGCTCCTGATTTCTGCCCAGGAAGTGAAAATGATTGTTGCGTTCCCAGGTGGACTGCAAGAAATGAACAAATGCTCATATCTGACATCCAGAAGGTTTGAACAAAATATTTATTCTGGAGCTCTATCAACATACACTGTAATGCTTCACTTAATGGTGCTCTGTGCAGTAACTCAATATACAGAAATACATTCAAATACATTCAGTATTTTTTATTAGTGATTCCTATTAATTTCATGGGAATTTCAGTGGCCGTGGATACATATGTAATAACTATTAAAGGTCCAACATTATGAAAAATTGACTCTTGTGAGCTTTAAGTCATGTTAGAATGTTGTTAGTTCTGTAGAGTTTAGTAGAGAAGCACAAGTCCAGAGCTGAAATCACCCAAATGATTCTAGCGAAGGTGTATGGAGTTTATAATACAATTCCTGTATTACCACATGACATCACAAGGTGGAACTAGAGTATTTTCTGTTGCAGGGTCAGATATGCAGGGTTTGTGTGAATGAAAAAATAAATCAACACAACTGCAGGTATGTTTGTGACGAGGAAACATTATCACACAGATCAGAAAATACCTTAAACCCTTTAATATTATGTATTTGTAGAAATTTCAGGTGTTCCCCCATAAAGTATAAATGCAGTACTTTGCAGCAAAATGTTAGTGCTGTAAAGCATATAAATAATAAAAAAAAAACTGTTTATCCCAGAAGAAAGAGGTTAATATGCTGCTATGTTTTGAAATGAGAGCTGGTTATGTGTGTGAGAGCTTCCTTCGCTCGCAATGTGCCAGAGGATTTGTCAGAACTCCGAATAAATTACAGTTGTAGGTAACAGTTCAAATTACATACCTCCTCCTCTTCACGTTTTGATAAGATTGTAACAGTGGTGCAGTGGTTCAGGCCTTCACCCTTTGTTTGACAATACACCCAGAGTTCACACTGTCAGACTTTCTCTGTGCATCAGACACATGAGCTAGTTAGAACAGAAGTGTTATAGTGTTAGAATTTAAGTAGTGTATCTGCATATTATTTAGGCATGAGGGTCACAGCCATCAGTTTACCTTAACTGCGCTCTAGTTTTTGTTATGATATGGTCTCTTATATTATGCAAAATGGATTTTTGTGAGATTTTATTCATGTTAGAATGTTGTTACTTCCTCAAAATTATACCCAGAGTTGTGTTTTGTTTCATTCACACATTTTTTATAATTAGTCTACATCTACAAAGATCAGAATGCTCTGTTCCTCCTTCTGATGTCATGAAGAGGTAGTTTTCATGTTAACAGCTACATTTTACATTTTGTTCAGGGGAGATAGGCATTTCCAGGGCTAAATGATTCTAATAAAGGTGTATTGAGTTTAACACAGTGGAACACTTCCTGTATCGCCATATGACATCACAGATCTCTCTATAAATATGTAGGGTTTTTGTGTTAAACCTGTATGAATGAAACAAAACACAACTTGAGGTTTGATGGGGAAACAATGTTCCTTGACATTTACAGAATTCATATTTCAGGATTTAGAATTCAGAATTCATTTGTTTTATTTTGAACATGTGTCTTGGCAATGAAGGAATAAAAATAAAAAATATAAAAAAAAAAACAATATATATACATACATATACATACTTACACACATACATACATACATATGTATGTATATACATACATATGCACATAGATATACATACATGCATACATACACTGTACATAGACATACACACATACAGTATACATATACATATACTCATATACTGTATATGCATACATACACACACCTACACACCATACATATACACACCCCACATGTTAATATAGATCAGAAAATAGCACAATATGGACTCTTTAACTAACTAACTAAAATAACGCCATTTAAATCCTATGCTAAAATATACTTTTGAGCTTGTATGCGGTTCTTTATAGCTGTATTCAGTAGCAGTTCTACAATATGTACTACGATTCATTCATATTAATGGTCTAGAGTCATGAAGAGTGTCCTTCAGGGGGCGTCAGAAAGGAATATTTGATGGTGCATATGGCCTATTAGCCACCCACATTGTGCAAACTGAGAGTGATTGGTATGCATCTTATTCTGATGATGAGGGAAGGTGTGAAGAATGCCACTCTGTCCTTTTGCCTCCTCTGTAAATGCAGGAAGCAGAGTTTTGGTGCAGGAATGTTGCTTTAAAGCCATGTTGTAATGTTGTTACCCTTCAAAAACATACCTGGAGTTGTGTAATATTTGAGTAATCCTACATATTTCAGTAATCCTTATGTCTGTCTATATCTCCAAAGCTCAGAATTCTCAGTTCCACCTTGTGATGTCATGTAGTGTTAGTTTTCAAGTTAACAGATCCCTTTTAACTTTAGTTGAATAGGGACTGAGACCAGGACCAGACCGGGACTGAGACTGAGACTGGGACTGGGACTGAGACTGGGACTAAGACTGAGATCGGGACTGAGACTGGGACTGAGACTGGGACTGAGACTGAGATCGGGACTGAGACGGGGACTGAGACTGGGACTGAGACTGGGACTGAGACTGGGACTGAGACTGGGACTGAGACTGGGACTGAGACTGGGATTGAGACCAGGACCAGACCAGGACTGAGATCGGGAACAGACCGGGACCAGACCGGCACCAGACCGGGACTGAGACCGGTTTAGTCCTGTTTTAGTCCTGTTTTAGTCCGTATGCAGCACAAAATCCAGCATCGCAGTTTAAATCACGACTCGTTATCCGTTTTTTCATTTTGGTTTTGGAGACAAATAATTAAGAAAATAGTTGTTTTTTCGTTTTCTTATTTTTGCTTTTATTTTGAAAAACAAATGAACGACTGATACACAGATTACATTAGTACAGTTTCTGATATATGGCTTTTGTCTCATTCCAGGTTCTGAAATTGTTCAGTGGATGATCAAGAATCTAGACATTGAAGATCCAGGTAACAACTCATACATCATTACATACAACATTTTTTTAAAAAGTTATTTCATTTGATTTGTGTACAAGTAGAGAAAGGTTTCTCAGATGTGACAAATTTTCATTAGCAACACTAAACTAAAGCTGACTTACAGACGGAGACTTCAGAAAGGTTTTAACTTGGAGCTTTGCATTCTTTTTGATGTGTTCTCTGTATCCTGGGGGTGCAGAGAATAAGTGCAGTCTGCTCTTCTTCTTTTGTTTTAAGCTCACTCTTTAAAATATGGGCATGCTACCAACCTTTTATGTATAGTTATTACATATCTCTGCCCAATAATCAAGGATGTATTAAAGGACAATGGTCAGTTGAAAGGAAAGAAACATACAAACCATTGTTTTTTAAACTGTGGTATACAGTCTCTTCTTGGTGGTACATGGACAACTGCTGTATATTTTCATTCTGTTTTTTCCATACTTGTGCCCTCCTTGGCAATAATAATAATTACTTGGTTAGAACCGCTGAGTTCATGGTGTAGTTCTATTTTGGACTGAAGTACTGTTATAAACCTAATTTATGTCTGGTTGAACTCGGAAAAAACAAATCTTTTCTTTAAGTGGCTTTGTCCATGTAGTTGTTATGCCCCAGCACAGATAAATTACATAAGTAGCTCTGAGAATCAAAATGAGGCTGCTGTACAGTGTTTGCATCTAATTATAAGTGTTTTATGATCTGAGAACCAGGAAATGCAATGTTAGCATGTTAGTTGCTGTTAGTATTACTGTGGTGACAACATTTTTAGAGTTTTACCAAATTATTAAGATGCTAGGAATGTGAGGAATAACTTTGGACCACTGCAAAAATAGACTAGTTCTGATTTTGTACATTTTTAAGACAGTCAAAATCAGATACAGCGCCTTTAAGTGGTACTTGAAGTGGTCCTTTAAACAGTTCTCCAAAAATATTTGCAAAATGAACCCAGAAGGTAGTAGTAGGTGGTGATTGCAACATATTTTCAGCTCTAACCTTGAGGACCCCTGGAGGATAAACCAGGACTTGCAAATTTCTGCCAGAAAAGTAGTTTGAAGCCAGACAGTCAAACTCACAGTCTAACCAGAGTGAGGAGCGTTGCGCACTCTTCCTTGACTGTGCTTCGTCTATCTAAATAATTGCATTCAGTTAAGTATTTTATGAAATACTACATACAGTATTTATTTGCAAGTTAATTATTAGTTAGTAATGCAAGGGCTACTTAATGATACTGTGAAAAATGTTATGTTAAATTGGAGAAGATATCTATGGCATTGCCTTTTGTTTTGATGCAATCATAAATGATGGATTCTTTGTCGTTATTGTTGGTTTGTAGGACCATGAAAAAACAAACAAACTGGCATCTTTAAAAAAAAATAGGAACTATACAGAATAAGAACTTAAAAAAAAAAGTTATGTATTGTATTCTGTATTCCTGTTAGAGAGAATATGGAACAATCTGAGGGATGATTTAAAAAAAAAAAAAAAAGTCTAATACTGTAGAAGTCTTTAAAAAAAGAGTATAAAGCCTTATGTTTTGAAAGATAGAGCTCTGGAATGAATGAATTATGCATCAAATTGTGTTTGTTTTAATTTATATTTTGTCTCTTATATATACATAAAGTCATAAGTGAAATTGTAAATTCTGTCATTATGTAATAGGGTTACTACTACTAGTGATATTATCAAGTTAACAAAGTAGAATATATCACGCAGGGCATCTGATGTAAAACATATTCAAACTCAAGAGATATTTGATAATATGACAAGAACCATATCATTTCACAGTATATTACTATCTAACATTCCTTTATTTGATCAACGTTTAAAGGTGCATTGTGTAACTTGGCAGAGGGTCAGCCACCTGCTTGTCTCCATGGAGATGTAATTGTTTTGTTTGGAATGTCCCAGTATGGCATTAAACGCATCCATCTTGCATTTATTCATAACATGGGCTTTACTGACCTAAAAGCATGCATTTTTACTGTGAGTGGGCTCGCCTCTCCACCGATCAAACATGTACCGTGGCCCTGTGATGTCATCTGCTTCCTCCATAGAGATAAATAAGTGTAATGCCATACTGTGGAACATTCCAGGCAATATCTTCATGAAGAAAAGAAGGTGATAGAAACTTCCACCAGAAAAGTTGTACAGTGCACTTGTGAATTGCATATTATTGCCGAAGTAAGTTTTTAGTTAGTGATTTTTGTACACTGTAAATGGCAACAAAACCTTTTCTGATTCTAACACAACATAAAATTGGTGATTGATTCTTGTGTCCTCAGTGATTCATAGAACATCTAGCACTGACTCACATCCATGCATTTCTATGTCTCTGTATAATCACTATGCGTCAGTGGGCCCTTACACAAGCCCTGATTAAATGCCTGTTTAAAGCATATGTTATGTATGGATGCATGTTGTTAGGTGCAGTGGGATCGGTCCATTGTTCTGCATTACTCAAAGCTTCTATTTGATATTCAGCTTGGAGTGCCTCTCACCTCCTCCTTTTATTTTTATCCCCGTGTTTATGCACCTTAAGGCACCTGTCTGGGTGAAGCAAAGTTGAAAGTGCAATCCTTGGAGAATGCCGTGATTACTCATGTTTATTAATAAGCTGAGAAATAGACAAAAAAACAAGACACCAAATCAGCAAATGAACAGAAATTCTCTTTTAAATATAAAGAAACTACAATTGCCCAAAGCATTATGAACCATATGATTCGTTTATTGAACTATAAAAGCATAAATACAGTTTATAATCACTATGACAAAGCTAGGGGCATATGTCACCTTCCAGATGGTAAAACTGAATGTTGTTTTTAATACAAAGAAAAAAGGAAAAGCAGAAAATACAGAAAAGCCTGGAGGGTCAACGCAGTGAGCAAAACAGGATTAACTCAGTTCACAAACTCCTAGTCAAATGGGGAACTATAATTAATTTGGCTCACAGCAAGCTATCAGCCAGTGTGTTATGTAAAGGCATGTATCAAAAGGAGCTGAGAATATGCAGGTCCCATATGATTCACAGGGAGCACTCCACAATAGGTTAACCCAACTTTTTCTGTCAGTGCTTTTTGTAATTATCTCCATACAGCACTTTTCCACCTTTAAGGCTCTCAAAGTGCTTTACATCAAGGAACCACTCACCTATTCACATTTATGTCGAGAGCAGGATTCAAATCTTCTGATCAGTGGACAAATGCTCTTGCCAACTGAGCTACTGGTGTTCAGGGTTTTAACAGTTAACATATGTAGATCATCATGTTTCCCTCTGCTCCCTACTCTGAGTCACTCCTCCTTCAGAGCGCTATCACAACACAATCAGTGTGAATCTTGCCAGTGAAGCTACTAACCATTGCATCAGGTTTGTGAAGTTGTTGTGTATAGTTTTGTATCATGCGTCTGTATATTTATAGAGAGTTGTCATGTGGAAGCTTATGCTGAGCAGAGGTGGGACCAAGTCATTGTTTTGCAAGTCTCAAGTAAGTCTTAAGTCTTTGACCTAAAGTCCCTGCCAAGTCCAAGTCATCTGCTTTGAGCTTCAAGTCATTTTAAGTCGTTAAACCAAAGGACCAAATATAGCTTAGATTTTTACTATATGAATTTTAAACAAAATTGTGCTAAAAAGTCATAGTATATTTATATATGAATATTTATATAAGAGTTGTAGAAATGTAACTTTTTTCCTTTTTAAATGTCTTGACAAGATCTTAGTGTGAATCATTACAGCCAGAACAGAAAGAAATTCAGATTTAAAAGTGCTTCTCAAGTCTTCTCAAGTCCCAGGCCTCAAGTCCTAAGTCACTGACCTTCAAGTCCAAGTCGAGTCCCAAGTCTTAGTCCAATTTATCAAGTCAAGTCATGACTCATGACCATAATGACTCCAGTCTGACAAGTCAAGTCCAAGTCACGATTTGCAAGTCACAGCATATCACAGAATCTCACAGCCATTAGGAGGCTCAAATCGGGCCCGAGAAAGATCTCAAATCAAACATGCATGGGTAACGTCTAAAATCTCTTCAGGCATGTTTCTTGATGAGGGGACAATGTTATGGCAGAAAGCTAAAAAAAAAAAAAAGAAGTGATTTTGCATAATAGCCCCTCTTTAAATAATGTGACTTCAAAGAAAAATACACTGTAAAAGTAATCTTAAAATATATTATAACTCCTTCTTGTTTCATTAATCATTTTGATTTTATGAGCATCCACAAAAAATCATCAAATTTACTATTAGTATTACTATTATTACAATCACTACTAGAGGTAACTGCACAATAATACTACTTCAATACTGTGTTTTTTTATCTGCTTTGTTTTGGCTCCTGTTACATTAACTGTCAATTCTGGTTATTTCATTATGCTAAAGGTATGAAAATATATTCTAATATTATTCATTTTAATTTGATGAGCTATAAATAAAATAAATCTGCTAAAGGCCCATTTACATAATAACTGATTTGTCATTTTAAATCGGTCTATTTTTTCTTGATCACTGCCGGTGTTACTACAGATTTGACTGTCTAAGCATCAACATTTTTGTGCTGAACAACTACAGGGGAATAAAAAACCTGTAGTTCTCCATTTGCCTCTGGCTCAAACATTTGACACTTGGCTGTTTAACATAATACTTTCATTACAAGCTCGAGCTATGCAGATTTAATCACCGGCTCTTGTAAAGCAGAGCCAATTGGTTTGGGCAGGACAGAAGCATTGCAATGAACTGTGCACTAAATTTAAGGTGGCCCTGACTTCATTAGCATGCATTAGCGCTCGCTGTAATTCACAGCAGCACAGAGCTGGAACCAGTGTGAACGCAGCGCTACAGGGTCATAGGATCTACAGCCTGGGGAGCAACGGTGAGAACACTGTCACTGAAGGTGAGACTTGAACAAGGAGAGCGACAAAACTGGCATAAAGACATTATTGCAAGACGCACAGAATGGTAAGACACTGTAATGCTCAGAGCTAGCGTTTTAGCTAATGAGAAGTTT